CACTTCTTGCCCTGTGCCCCCCACCTTGTGCACACAGCCCAGTATTGCCTCCCCCTATCCATTTGCACGTGCAACCCAGTCCCAGCTTTCCTATCCTGTGCCCCCCCCGCCACTTCCACGCACAACCCGTTCACATCTTTCATATTGATTGTGCCCCTCAACCCACTTGCACACACAAGCCATTCACAGCGCTCGTACCGATTGGGCACCCACCCACCCGAACAGAAACAACGGGGGCAGGGGAGCGAGCTAGCCCTGGCCGTAGGGAAGAAGAGACCCAGTCCTGTTCAGCCCTTGCACATACAAGGTGTCACGTAAATAGTTGTGGAGAGCACCCTGCTCCAACGCCGCACGGGTATACGGTGGGAAAAAAGCCAACGGGGTACAAACTTCTTTGCAGACACCGCACCTCCAGGACAAAACACATCCCTTCCCCATGACAAGTGTGTTTGGGGGAGTTTTTCCTCCTGAAGATAATTAGGGGGGAAAAAAGATAATGAACTGTAGTAATTTTCCCCCCCACATCTAAACTACATTTTACTACAGGTAGAAACAGGCAGATCCCATTTTTTTTCCACATTACAAGGTTATTTAATGCAGGAGCGGGCCAAGCCCCAGGTTCATACACCTTTCCCCAAAGAGCTTCCCTCCGGACTGCAAGGAGGTTAAGGCAAGCGTGGCCGCTCCACACCGTGCCTGCTTTGCAAAGAGTGCACATCTCTCCAAAATAGACCCGTCACTATAGTATACGGCAGGTTACTCACTTGGAGTGCAGTAATCCAAGTTGAATTTTTAATCCTTTTCGAGATTAAACTTTGCAAATTCAATGCGTTTCAGAACTTTTATCACCGCCTGGATACCTTTCAAAACTTTTACCACTTCAGACTTCCTTGGTTGGTTTCCATCAAACGTTGCTTTCCGCAAATAAACCAAGAATGGTTGGAAAGCATCCTTAGCCTGTAAGTGTCTTCAATGATTTTTTTTTTTTGTGGTTAAATTAAAAAATTCCCAAGCCCAGTACAAGTAGTTTAAAAGTGAGTAATGATTCTTTTTTTGTTGTTTTTTATACATATAACATGCGTAGAAATGAACAATTAATTGCATAAATACATTACACTGTGTTATGAATCAAAAATCAAAAGCGATTGCCAAGCTGAATAATAAGTTAGAGAAATGATAACTCTGGCTTTATATATTTATAAAAATAGATATGAGTGTTCTCCAAGCCGTTGGTAGAGAATGCCTACTGAGTAAGAAGTCACCAAGGGTTATCCGACTAAGAAAAATCAGAAGATGAAAATTTTCACAGTTAAACGTCATTTTTAACTGCTACTTACATTCATTCTAATGGCATCACTAGCATATATTATTAAGATGTTTACGGTATATATCACAAATGAATTTTCCAGTGTTCACAACTTACAACTTTATTTCGTACACTTGCTATTTACTTTAAAAAAAATTAAAAAGTACAATTTTCTTACTGCTGCAAGCTACTTTTCCTAACACTTTATACAGAACTTAGAACCCTGGCATGCTGATTTTGGCAGATTAATGCATTGTATTGTTCCTATTCAGTTATTTCTGGTAATCAGCTTGTAAACTTAACTGCTTACTACACAATAGTGTTGCGAATTTAGTCAATGTAAAGTTACACAAGAAATTTTCCTTCAAGTAGCCTCTCTGAAGAAGAGTTAAAAAAAATGTCATGGCCTTTAGTTCTACTTTAAACAGTTAACTCCAAGGAATTGGTGGGGGGGGGGAGAAAAAGGAAAAAGAAGTCAGGCGCTACTATCTTTGCTGTAAACAAAGAGCTCCCA